TCCCCCCCCTTCAGTCCCTCCCAGCCAGCCCCTGCACACCCCCTATCCCCCGCCACTCCCAGCCGGCCCCTGCACACCCACTATCCACACACCCCAACCACTCCCAGCTGGCCCTGCACACCCGCTATCCCCCTCCACCACTCCCAGCTCGCCCTGTTTCCCCCCCCCCCCCCCCCCCCCCCCCGCCACTCCCAGCTGGCCCTGCACACCCGCTATCCCCCTCCACCACTCCCAGCTGGCCCTGCACACACACTATCCCCACCACCACTCCTAGCCGACCCCTGCACATTTACTGTCCCCTCTGCTCCCCCTGCTGGCCTGAGGGTTTCCCAGAGACAAAGGAGGACAGAGCAGAGGGGAAGGCCCCAGCATGCAGGGTGGAGCCTGCAGGAATTACCCTAACCTCCCGGGGCCCCAAGCCTCCCTCGGTTTTGGGTGAAGGGCCCAGCGCTGTCTGCACAGGGTGTGTGTGTGCTCCAGTGACAGCAGTGCCCGGGGAGCCCCCAAGTCAGACAGGCCCTCACAGGTGGCAGAGCCTGTGGGCCACCTGGTCATAGCAGCGGCTCTCCTGGTCTGTGAACGCCCCGCAGCTCGGAGCCCCAGGACCTGAGAGCTGAAGGCCAGGCGCAGGGTGCTTCTCCCACAGTTCCAGCGGAAGTCGCAAGTCACCCTGGGGCCTGTCTCGCCGTCTGTGAGGACAGAGGACAGTGGGTATGCACCCGGAACCTCCCAGACCCCAGCCTGGGCCCCACCTGCTCCACCACCTGTAGCTGTTGGGGCACAGGACCCACTCGGCACAGGCAGGCTCCAAGACTCCGCCCGGGAAGGGTGTGAGCAGCACTGCGCCTCCCGACGCCCAGGCGCTGGGACCCACAGCACTGTGCCAGCCACGGGGACGGGCGGCAGCCGACGGTGCGCCATCACCACCGCGCTGCGCGGTCTCAGACGGGTGGCCGAGGGGACCTGTGCCCTCTGGCCTGGACCTCGCCACGCATACCCCGATGGCAGACGGGGCCATGCCCATGGACAGCACAGGAAGGTGGGGCCCTCGGCCTCAGGACAAAGGCGCCTCGTTTCCATTTCCGCCTGCACCGGTCAGGACCAGCCCAGGTCCTGAGGAAACCCGCCTCACGCAGTCCTCCACGACCAGGGCACGGCCCAGAGCGGCCTCGTCTGTGCAGGCTTGGAAGGGCACCCAGACGGTCTCGCAAAGCGTCAGGGACGCCCGGTTCCCTCAGAAGCCCGCAGGTTAGAGACCCCTGCGGTTCGGCTTGCTGCAAGACGGGCCTGTGCACCTGCGTCTCCCCGCTAACCACCGTCCGGCTGCTTCTGCCTGTGCTGCAGCGTGCAGCCATGGCATAGGCCTGGCGTGGCCTCGACACAGCTCTCGGCAAGCACCTGCAGCTCCTGGTATAAACATCCCCGGGTCCGTCCCAGGTGTCAGCACCGTCAGACACGGGCGGAGACTTCAGAAGCCAGAAGGGCACCCACCGGCTCCCGGGGCCCCCCAGCCAACAGACCCGC